TTTTCAAGCTTTCCTTTGCAGCTACAGGAATAACCCAGAAAGACATACAGATGAGCTAATTTTCAAATAATCACTTGATGAAGGACATGAAACTTTAAAAAAAAGTGACAGACCAAAGGACGAAAAAAGTGAAACATGCAAAACTGAGAGTCCGTCATCTCTTTTGTTAAAGCCAGTAACTCAGTGCCAAAGAGAATGGCTTTAAGACCTCAGCAGAGCAGACGCTGAATATCACAGACATAACGCAGCAGAAAATGCCATTTACACAAATGCTACACACTGAACAGCAGCTCAGAACCTGGTATTCTTCCTAAAATTCTGCTTTCAGCAAATCTCATAAGTATCATTTTATCAGCTCAAGCAGATTTTTCCTACAAGATTTTAAAAGATTACATGCCAGGTGTAGAATACTTCATAAAGCAGAATTAGATTTTTGCCTTGTGTGATTTTTTTTTTTTTTTTTTTTTTTTTTTTTTTTTTTTTTTTTTTTTTTTTTAATAAATAATAGCAACCGGCAAATTACAGCCATTAGTAGAACACTGCCTTCACAGCAGATTTATGGCAGCATTACCGAAAGCAGAATTTCACCCAACAACACTTCTGGGTAACACAGACATCTGCAGAACCAAGGGGAAAAAAGCACATAAACATGCACAACCACACATTTTGTGCATTACCATCCGAGACTTTTACAAGGATGGGTGTTTTGTGCCAGCGTTCTGCAAGACTGTACCTCGAGCATGCTCAAGAGTGTGGAAGACTCTCCTGCACACAGTGACTTCCAGTCCTACCTCAAATTCTTTTAAACCCCTCACCTTCATGCTCAGAAATATGGCTTTGGCAGAAAGGCTGCACTGTGAGGAAGGAAAATCACCCCACACTCCTGTTACCATGCTACATGAAATCCTCCCTCTGCCCCAGCAAGCTCCCAGCAAAAATATCCAAGTTTATCACGCCAAGGAAAGAACAATAAGTGGGAGTCCGAAAAGGCAGTCAGAAGTACCGCCAAAAAATCAGAGCTCTTTCTCAAAAAAAGGCCCTCCCTTAGGAAGCMTGCCAATCAAACCCGATCACGAGGCTGTTTTCCGAGGGTGAATAGAGTTCTTATTGACACAGCTTATGTCTGCAGCATGCAGCCCTCCACAAGGCTTTCAAGAGCAGATCGGATTACACAGACACATTCTCTCTGATTTTATGCATTCAGAAGCCCTCAGACATAAAATACCCGGCTCAGAAAGCCACCGCTTTTTCAGCTTGCTATCGGCCTACGTGCTTTTACCAAAAAAAAAACAAACAGGCAAACAGATCCTGGCACCTTTACTTGGGCTCCCGAGGCCCTCACCCTYGCTCAGCAGGGCCATATAATTTGGAGGCCAAGCCACAGATTTGCTCCATGTGAGTAATACAAGACGACTCATTCCCATGGTGAGTACTTAGCATCAGAACAGGAGAAGAGAAAAAAACAAATATCTGCTGACATCATTTAAAATGGGAGACGATAACATCGCTCTGGGTAGACAATCCTTCCTGGAAGATGGCATGGAAAAAGGGGAGGATGCACACCTTCTAAAAGAACAGCATGCACTGCACAGCTTAGCAGGCAAGAGGTGCCCAACTGCAAAAGCATCACAAGCACAAATTCAGGTAAATCATCTATCCAGGGGCAGCAATTTGCACACACGGGAACCTGGAGAAAACAAACTAARAAGATCCATTTCTACAATTTTACACTTAGGGGGCATGATAAGAAACTCCATTCCAGCAGCAGGCACAGATAGGCAGTCTGGAGTACTGTGGTGTTGCAGCAGAGGTGAACAGAGAATTACAAAATATTTTATTATAAACGCTCCAATTTAAAGACTGCATTTCAGTAAGAGACAAGTCCGTGCTTAAATCATATGACAAATTAGGACCTGAGCATTRCCCAGAGATGGATGCATGCACTGTCCAGAGGTCTGGACTACACTAATTAAAAAGAAGCTCACTCCCCAACACCACCCCCCCCAAAAAAAAAACCACTCTAAAAAGAAAACCCTTACATTACACGAGTGAGTGGATTCCTATCAACTAAAAAGGAACTCCTGCATCAACTTAGTCACTGAATTGAAACTTCTCACTGAAATATTACATATGGCAAACACAGCAAATCAAGCAAGCTTGAGCTTCAGAGCTTTTAAGGGATTTTAAGGGCAAACAGACACTGTTCAACAAAGACATCCTCTCTTCCCTGCTTCCAGGCTGCTGTTGTTCCCCAAGCAAGATTTTCTATTCTGTAAAAGATTTTTCTCACATTTTTCCTGATGGGTGCTGGAAGGTTAGATTTGGGCAACTGAAAAGCAGGGTGCCATGTCTGTCTGGGGTGGCAGTTCTTTGGTTGGTTGTTTGCACACCAAGAGAGCCACCTCTTTGGATACCGAGATCTAAGCAAACTGTACTTTTCAGTGCTCAGCCTCCCTCTCAATGACCAGCCCTGTGTTTAGAGTACTTGTAGTACATTCATGGTCCAAAAAAACTGCTCCTATGAATGCTCCATRCTCCTTCCCAACTCATCTGAGTCATGCAGTGGTTCACTCCACTGACAAAGCCAAGTTGTCACCACCAGCACAGAATGGGTGTCCAGCTGTGGGCATCAGTCACCAAATCCTGACTGTASATTCATCATCTTCATCTGGGCCTTCACTAACCACAAAGGAAATCTTCATTCATTTTCAGGCTCCTGACTAAGCTGCAGGCACTGGTGACTGGGACTGCCATGGTTTGACTTGTGCCTTTAAGAAGATCCATTTGCCAGATATTAGCAACAAAGTTACGCTGTGGTCCTGCCTCATCCTGTGCTGCCTGGGCCACTCCAAGTCCTCCTTCTGTGGCCACTTGGAGAAGCTGAGTGATGGCTAAAATGAGCATCTTTTCTTTCTTGTTATTCTGCAAGGTTATTCATTCACAAGGATGGAAGAGACTGGAAGGAAAGGCTGGAAGCAGGACCACTTCTACCTCAGCACCAGCTTCAAAATTGATTTGCAAAAAGTAAGAAAGCCAACCTCTCTCTCTGCAGTAACAAGTTCTTAAGTCACACTTTGGGATTACCTTARACTGTCAGAACAATCCCTCAAAACCTCACTCCTGATGGCATCATAAGTGCAAAACTCTGAGCTACAAATATTTCTCTTGCCAAGGTGGGGCAAGCCCAGGAAAAAATTTCTACGTCGGTAAAACTCTAAGAATAACATTTAAGGCTCATGCCAGCCATTCCCCAACAGAGAATAAGAGGGCAGAGCAGGCCCCCACTGCCTGCAAAGTGGAACTGAGCATGAAAACCACTAGAAAATCCTCTGTGTGGATTCAACATCTCAGAGACAACAGCCCAGCACCCCTACTGTCAGTAACCTTCCTGCAGCATGTGGTCCAGCACTATGAGGGAGGAATGAAAGGTCTAGATCCACTCTAGATCCACTCCCTCTTTCTCTGTATGCGTCCCTCACAGCAATGCAAAAGATGTGGCACCCTGAAATCTGCTGACATGGCCAGATGCTGCAGGAGGCTGAGCAGGACAGTCTGCAGCACTGTGGGGCCAATTCCTCACTGACCACCAGGTCTGCTTTGGGCTCCTGCCAATATATCCCAAAAGGCCCATAAGGCAGAACCAGACCTGCAGCAGTCACACAGCTGTAAACAGGCTGAACCAGGTGCATACATAAAACTCAGCCACCGCTAGGAAGGCTAACTGAGCCCAAGGCACACTGCTCCTTCTCCTGCACATCCCATAATACCTAGCAGCTTCAGCACAGTCCATTGTCTTTGAAAAGAGAAACACTCAAAACACTGAAATAGCTCTCAAACTTTTCTGGGCCATGTCTACTTTAAAATGACTTCATTTAAATATGTACCGTGTCTATATATACACGCACACACACCAAGGGAAATGAGCACCCGTGAGCAGAGCTGGTGCCCACACACCSTAACTGTGCACAGCCTCAGCCACCGCAGCGCACACCACTACGACCCTACAGCAAACCAGGGCTGCTCCCAGCCACCCCACAAAGGTCCTGCCCCACTGGCAGCACCCCTACAGCCTGCGGGCTCTCCACCAGACCACTKGCTAACACTCATCTTCCTTGGGGTATGGAGGGTGATGGGGGCAGGGAAGTTTTAAGACCAGATTACAGAGTCCTTTAAGTCCTTCACTTCTGCACGAAGCTGAACCCYAAGTCCTCCCTTCAGGAATTTTTTTTTCCCTCCCTGAGATGCGTGATTTGACATTCATTAGTAAATTAAGCTCCAAGGAGCAGGACTGTGCCATGTAAGGCATTTCTCCAACCTGCATCACTGCAGCCTCCACATACTACCTCAACAGCAAAAACACCCGCAAGGAGGATCCATWGGGGGAAAACATCTCTGCAACCCCATGGAAGCCACCGCATGGAAACTTTAACTGCTTTACTTCTGCTTCTGCATAATCCCATAATAACTAGCTTAATTCAGACTGCTCCAACTCAGACACTCGATAGTTTCAACATGGTATAGACTATAACCTCGCTCTAATTACAGGATCATGTTACATGTCCAACAACTGCTGCAATTTAGTCTTGCCTGAAACACCCCAGCCGAAAATTGCTCATCCCACCTCTCACTTGCTTATTTTTTGGCAACCTTTGAATGGAGGCAGGGATACCTAGCAACACCTTRGCATCTGACACACTCGCACCCCAAGTCCCAAAAAGATTAAGTTATAATTTCCTTGCCGTAATGAAGGCAACGACTTCTATCAGTGCTGAATAAACTAATTTCAGGCAAATAGCACAGACACGACACTACTGTTCATACACTTCTCCATGCAAACGCAATACAGGATTATTGCTACGAGCCACAACACCACAAATTCACACGTCACTCCCCAAAATCTGATCACACGCGGAGCCGAACACAGACGGAGCCTATCTGAGCAAGAGGGGAGTTTTCAGAGCGGCAAAAGCTGCAGAACGGAGCAGCCGGACTTTTACTACCTCAAAGGCAGGGGATGTTCCTTACAGCAGCGCACGTCTTGCCTTTGAGCTCAAAACTGCATCCGCAGCTCCCGCTGCCATGAAAGGGGAAGGTTTTCTCCCCGCAGCCGCTCGCCCGCGCCTGAGCCGAATGTTAACAGRTCTGTGCCTCGCGTCAGCCCCGCCACCGCCTCATGCTCGGCCGGGGAATGCTCCGCTGCCCGGGCGGACGGGCTGTCCGGCCATGGCTGGGCGATGATTCAGCAAGGGGGTGGCTCCCGGAGGGAAGGCACACCTCCTGCGAGCTGTCACACCGCGGGGCCGGGGCAAAATGGGAGAGAGAACTTGCTCTGTCTATCATGGCTGCACTTCCCAAAATGCGTAACCTGGCCTGGTAGGGGCGAGGGGGGAGAAGGGGCGAGGCGGGGGGTGGGGGGATGTTTCCATCAGCAGGCACATGGGAATAACTGAAGGAAACATCTCGAGGCTTTTAACCATGGCACAAGTAAATGAAGGAAAAGAAGCGGGGGGGGGAAAAAAAAGAAAAAAAACAAAAAACCAGACACTTTGGGAGCCAGCATCAACTTCGCCAGGCTGTGTTCTTTGTTTCTAGGCAGACTCCAGTGCGGTGGCAAGAATGAACAAATGCGCATGTCTTCATAAGAGTCAAAAAAAAAAAAAAAAAAAAAAAAAGGCAAAGAAAAAATCCCCCCTCCCCTCCGGCCCCTCTCTCGCCGCTGCGGCGGCCGGAGCCCTCCGGAGAGTTTGGGCTGCTTTTCCAGAAGTAAAACTCCGCTTCCCGCTGCACCGAGCAGGGGTTTGCCAAGCTACCAGGCGTCCGGGGGTACGGCAGCGCCCGCAACACTTTCGGCCGCAAAAATTAGTTCTAGTGTGGGGTTCGTGATTTTTTTTTTTTTTCCTATTAAAGAACGGAACGCCGCCCCCGCCACGCTCCAGCCGCGCCAGCCGCCCTCCGCAGCCGCCCGCCGGAGCGGAGCGGGGCCCGGCACGCCGCCGCCAGACAAAGGAGCGATGCGGAGCCGCGCTCAGCCCGCGGCCAGCCCGCCTGCGCTCCCGGGACAGCCGCCCGCGGCACCGGCACCGGCACCA